TTGGGAATCTGCAGAAGTGACACGTTGCACAGATGGCAACGGCTGAAAGGCAGTGGGTCCAGCGTGGTGCGACCAGTGGGAGGAATGGGCAGCGGCCGGAATGGCATCGCCTGACCCGAGTGCACCCTTTCACCCCAGCTCTGCAGGACGGGTCGGGAGGAAAACTTGCTGGAGCTGAGATGCTGCCTTCAGGGCAAAGAGAGCCCCAGGAGAAGAGTGGTGCTCTCCGTTGGCCAGAAGAGGGCGCTGCTTCCTTCTGTGTCTGCCTCGGAGTGGCACCAATGTGCCGTGACCCCGCGGACGGTTTCACAGATCTGCAGACCCCTGGGCAGGACGGTTTCACAGATCTGCAGACCCCTGGGCAGGATCAGGATGCTGCGAATGCTACAAGGTCCAGTGCAAACGCAGGGTCGGGTCCTTCTTTAGGAAGCCCATACTTGGTTTGCAGAGGGCTTTTCCTGTATGCATTTTGATTGTTCCAAAATACTGCTTTAAACTATTTGCCGCGCGTGCTGAGCTGTTTGGGGCTCCCTTACGTTTCCTGCCGAGACCAGGGTCCCATTGGACTCCCTGTCCCGGCCTGGCTGCTGGAATAATGCATTCGCTACAGCACCCCAGCTCGGAGTCCAGGGTGGGCAGTGCGGTGTGAGGTCACAAGGCCTTTAGGCATCTGTCGAGAGAGGCCTGGCACCCCCATGCCGGCCGTGGTGTCACCTCGGGGCCTGTAGTAGGGCAGGGTCTTTATCTCCAAGGCTCCGCTCCTTCATCTGCACGGGGGATGCCAGTCCCTTCCTTGCAATTTACTCTGAAGACAGAATGTCACCGGACTGAGCGCCCTGAGGGCCAGGCACAGTGCCGAATCTCCTCTTTAGTTATACACTCACGCCTCTTCACAGCACAGCGATGTAGGAACTGCAGAAGGTGAGGAAATGGGCACAGAGAGGTTGGGCGTTTTTCCCAGGGTGAACAGGCGTGGTGGAAGCGCACGTGCTTTAGCCGCCGCGCCAACATTCACAGCACAGAACACTCACTCCCCCTGGGGCTCTCCGAAGGCATCTGAAGGCCGAGTCACAACACGGCCAGGGAAGCTGAGAGGCACTCTGCCAGGTGCGGCACGGCCCCAGGCCGCAGAGACGCGCCTGACCCTGTGTCGCTCGGTGTTCCATCACCGCGGGGACCGGCCTGTGAGAGCAAGCGCTGTACTTCGGGCCGGGTGTTGGAGGCTGCAGCCCACGCGCGGCTGTGCTGCTTCAGGGGCCTTGGCGAAGGTAGCGTCATGCCTGTCTGCCCCGCTCCTCAGGTGCCTAGTGGGGTGACAGATTAGAATTTCAGACAGGGCATGACACCCTCGGGCCTGCCCTCCCGACTCGACCCTCCTGAGGGCCGGGCACAGCCCTGCACGGAGGATACTGTGTGAGGTTGAAGCCCAGAGCCTGGCTCTCCGCAGGAAAGCAAGGGAGGCAAGGTTTGTCACTTTACGCAACCCAAAATAATAATGCATCTTCCCCGCCCCAAACGCCAAGCCAGTTACACGACGTGGTGACAGATCAATCTGCATACACTACAAGATTATCACCAGGGCTCACTCATCATTACACACGAAGCCGCATCAGTCACTGGAAACACCTGCTTGGGTCACGAGGCCCATCCCACTAGTGGGGACTTTCCCAAAGGCCCTTGGCTTCTCTTTGTGGCTTCTGAATGACTCAGCCTATGACACTTGCCCCTCCTAGAATCGTCACCTTGTCTTCCTCAGATTCCAAGGTATCCTGTGCTGCCAGGGCCCGTGTGGGTGGCGGTGTTAGGGGCACGGTGTCTGAGCTCCCTGCGCTCCTTTCTGCCCATCCCTATGACAGGTATGAAGCTCTGTGGCAGGCCTCTGAGGGACAAGAGTGTGGGTCAGGGGGTCTGGTCACCTCTGTGAAATCAGGAAAGCTTTCCCCAGGCGGCTGCTGCTCAAGGCAGACAGTGGAATTAGTCAGAGAAAAGGGTTTGATGGAACATAAATTTGGGGTACTCTGTTTCAACTCAGTTAAGCAGCTTTTTTTAAATTACAGGACTTCCGAGCACATTTGATTTGCTACTGTGCATTCTGAGTCTCCTAGACCAAGTGATACTTATTCATCCTTTATTCCAGGAGCATCTTGCAGACTAGTATGGAGAAGGAAATGCCGTCCGCATCATTAGGTGGCAGAAGGATGGACACAGCAGATGGTCGGAGAGGGTCAGGCTTTCCCTTGCAGGCATTAGGCCCCTAGGAGGGACAGTCTTGGAACTCGTATTCCCAGCACCGGGACACAGCTGAGGGCGAGACAGAGCAGCGGTCAGGGTCCTGTGGATCCACCAGGACCAGGTCCTGGGCCTGCACCTCCTCAGGACCCCTGGGGTAGAGGCTCCCCTGACTTCATGCAGAGTAAAAAGCTTTACTCCTTTTTGTCTCTCTTCAGTTACTGAAGACACACATGTTTTGTGGGAAAAGTTCATACCTAAAGCATAGGGTCAAAAGTGGATATTCCCTTCATTGAAGCCCCTGCAGCCCCTCTGCTAACCTGCGGGGTCCAGGGAGTCAGAAGGGGGTCTGGGGTCAGAGGCAGTGGGTTCCCATCCCAGCTCAGCTTCACACTGGCTTTGCGTCCTTGGGCATAAAGGCCCGGGCGAGTACTGAGTAAGACGGGCCCAGAAAGCCCTCAGCCCAACACCGGCTCCTAATTGGATTCGGTTAAATTTGCCTTGGGATGTTCTTCTAGGATCCAGGCACTTTTTTAAAGACATGATCTTGCTGTGCAGCCCGGTCCGGTCTCAAACTTGTCGTCCTCCTTCAGCTTCCTGGGTGCTGGTATTACAGGCATGCGTCATATACCCAGCCCAGGCACTTAAAAAAAAGCTGAATTTCACACAGTGACTATACTAAGTATAGAGCCAGACCCCTTTGTGTGAATTTTTTGTGGTCCTTCAGAGCAGTTTTTATATGTGGAAACCACTATTTAGAGATTACTTTATTTTTCAAATCATCAAAGTTAAAATTTAAAAAACTGACTACTTGACTCTATCCTACAGGTTTGCTTGCATTTGTTGGTAAGAACTAAATCTTTACCAGGACTCTTAGAAAATGCCATAGTTTTTAAATTCAGTTTACAAAAATTCTTATTCTTCTATAAGCTCAGCTAAGATATCTAGATAAAGTACAGATCAGCCAGTTACATTTAAATTATCTAAAGTTCACATGTACTGATCTGCATTTTCATTTGGTAAATCTGGAAACCCTGAATCCAGCATAATTTAAATAATTAACTTTAAGGCGTTTTGAACCTATTTTAAAAAACATTTCAAACTTTTTTTTACAAATTTAATATCTTACTTCCTTTTTAAAGTTCTTCAATATTCTTAACAACAAAAAACTCATCTTTTTGTTTTATGAATAGTTTTACGGTTAATAAATTAATTTTACAAAACACTGCTAACCCAAAGTCCTTAAAAATGTTTCAGAACTATATGGACCTGGTGTGGTGGTATAAACCTGTAATCTCAGCACATGGAGGCTGAGGCAGGAGGATTGCTGTGAGTTTGAGGCCAGCCTGAACTATGTAGTGAGACCCTCTCTCAAAAACAAACAAAAAAGAAAACAAAAAGCTGTGTGTTCATTTGATAAAGTTGAACTTAAAGTCATGGCTCTAAGTCCATTGATCCACCTAATGGCACATTTTACGTTGTCATTAAAAGACTGTCAATCTAATAGGTGAAAAAGGTCAGGTGATACAAGTTCACAAGATACTACACATGTGTAGATTCCATCTTTAAATACCAAAAAAAAATTTGTACTATGGTGAAGTCTCTTAAGTATTTCTACACTTAGTTCTACTAGACAGGTGCTTTAACCAGCTGAGCGACGGAGCCTCTACACTTAGTTCTAAATCCTCCTCTGTTCGGAAGATGCCTGTCCAGCCAGAGAGACACTTAAACACTCTGTTTACAAGAGGAACTTTTTACTACAAACTCAGCCAGGTCTAAGTCTGATGCTTCATCTTCCCATGAGCTCAGGAAATCACTGTTTTCCCCTACGCACTATTATCTCCTGGGAGATATCTCTTGGCATTCCTGGGCGTGAGTGGCCAGGGTTCTGACTGATACACGCTGGCAATACAGTGCACCTTTCCCAGGGGGCTACAGATGAGGCTCTATCTCTAGGGAGGGGGTGGCCCCAAGACCTCAAGGCTCATTGCAAGTTGTTCCCATTCCAACCTTTTTCTCACAGAATTGTCCTTCCCAGAGTCCACAGATCACCAGAATACACTGTGCACTTTTTTGCTTGTCAGATCTTGATATCTTCCTGCCCAGATCTCTAAAAGTTGTTTCGCTTGGGCTGAAGTCCTACACTTCTTTCAAAAATTTCCTTTTTCAGGGTCACGGAGCTCTCATAAACATTAAAATGTCAGTCAAATCAGGGGTTGGCCCAGGCTATTTACTGACGTTAGGAACTGCCTTAGTGGGACCGTGGTGGGACAGAGGCTGGGACAACAAAATAAACCCCCAGGACAATAAACTATTACACACTGTAGCGCGGCATGTTTTAACAGGTGCATCGTGAGACTCTGATAAAGCCACAGAGAATGTTTCCATGAAATCAGAAACTGCTACCAATGTCAAACCTAAATTAGCCCTGTAGTTTCACTTGCTCTCAGTCAATTTAGAAATCACTCATCTTGAAGCTCATCTGCTGGGCCAATACATTATTCGCTTGAACACTTCTGCCTGGGCATTATGATACGAGTTACCTGGGTTATTTCCCAGGGACCTTAAGACCACCATTGCTTCAAACACAGACCTTTTACCTACCTCATGTGAGCTTACTGAAAACTGGTCTGGGGCTGAAATAGGACAAAAAGCTTAACATCCCTGTCTTCATACTGTGTCTGTACCCTCTGATTTCTTAACCCTTGGGTCAGATTATGCTCAGCTATGCGGCTGAACATATCGATCATTTAAAAATGTTTGGTCCAAGACTACACTGTGGTGTTAACTTGGTCTATTGCCCACTGGAGCTGGTGTTTTCTTTTTCTTTCTCTCTCCCCTTTTCTACTCCTACCCTTGTGCTTCTTCAGAGCCACTCAAGCCCAGGCGATGTCCTTGGCTTCTGTCGCAGTGATGCGGTGAAGCCAGACTGCTGTCTCTCGAAGTGGGAGAGTGAAGTTGTCGACAAAAAGGAGGTAGGGAAGGGAGGGTGTCTGTTGGAAATATAAGGAGAAACAAAGCTCCAGGTAATCAGGAGGGGCCCGGAAAGTCAGGGGCCACACGGGCTCCTTGTCCAGAATCCTTTATGAATAAGCCGAGCGTAGAACTCTGCCCAGCACCCAGAGGTCACTCATTACAGCCGGTCTCGTGGGCCCCAAACAACCAGTTGAGACTCAGGGGTTTTTTAATGGAGAGTTCCCAAGAAAAATCGTTTACTCAGTGTTCCCAGGTTCCTGAAAACCAGCCCACAGCCTGACGTAGAAAGGGGCTGCTCTTTGGCGCATTCAGCCTAAGAAGTTTCTTTCCTGGGAGGTAGTCCTTAACTGCCTGTGTTCGTCTTAACTCTACCACTTTTCCTGTGTTTACTTTCACAGTCTAAACTATCTTTATGGCTTGAATTAGTTCTTAATATGCTGTTTCCTCTATGATGCTGACCAGTATGCTGACTCAGTCTTAGGCCTGCTCCTTGCTAGTTGCCTGTTCATAAGCTAAATAGCTAAGCTGCCTCTTACAATGGGACTCAGACCCCCAAGGACAGAATGCTTTGCACAGGACTGTGGTGCCAGATACACAAAAATTCAATAGCATCTAGGACAAGGTGCTTCTAACCACCCGGTTGTCCAAGCCCATGTCAAGAAGAAACATCTTTTGGAACCAGGCCCTTGGCCAGTGAGAATTACCAGACTTCACCCTCCCCAGCAATCAACAAAAACCCACTGCTCTTTCTAATGAGAGTAGCAGCTTGGTCACTTTCTTGACGAATCCCTGCTTCCTTCAGCCAAGGTCCCAGTTCAGCTGAGTCCCTCACTGCAATAAAGCTTTGCCTGTGCAGGAATGTGTGTGCTTGCACTATTGGGCCCAGGCTTGTTTCTCTCATCTCTGGGCCCAAAGATCCTCCCTGTAGTATCGCAGGGACATTCTACCCATTCTAGCAGATCAGCAACCGTTGGCCCCCTGCCCCCTGCAACATACTGCTGGTATTTGGTGTGTTAAATTATGTACCATAAAACTGCCTAGAAAATTATGTCACTCAAACTAAACTTAAACTTAATTTGCACCATCAGGGGTGGTTAGAGAATCACTCTCTGGGTGTGCCCAGGGACAGCTGGCCACCAAACCCCAGAGATTTAGAGAAACCCTGGCAGGGTTTTCCACGGCCCCCGAGCCTCCTGGTCCCCCACAGAAGTCCCCACCGCCCCGGGAGCCCTCTGGGTAGATGCACTCCCAAGTTTATCAATGCCCATGGCATGCAACCTTAGGCGAGATGGCCAGAGGTCGGAGCTGGGGATGTGAGTGATTCTGCGGAGGATGGTGCCTAATTAAGCATGCCCGTTTCCTCACCCGGGCGACAAAAACAGAGCTCTTAAAAGGCAAGTCCAGTCTCTTCATTTCCTTAGGGATTGAAACCCATGATCTGCAGTTCCTCAGAGAAGTGAAAGTAGCAAAGAGGAATCCAGTAATTCCTGTTATCTGCAGGCTTTATAAATCAGGGAGCCGGAAGGTGGCAGGAGCCTGCAGCTCGGCACCAGAGCCTCTCACCTGGCCCAGAGCCCCAGGAGCCCCAGGATGTCCCGGACTCTGCCGTCCCTGCTGCTTCTCCTCCTCGCCCTCCGCGGTGCCCTGGCCCTGAAGCTCTGCTCCTTCAACGTGAGGTCCTTCGGGGAAAGCAAGAAGCAAAACCAGAATGCCATGGACATCATTGTGAAGGTGAGCCCCGTTCCCACAGGGGGGATGCTGGGCTCCCCTCCTGCGCTCTCCCCTAACTCCACACTTTGGAAAACTCTGGAGGGATTTAACTGCTTTGCCCTCCGGGAAAAGATAGAAGCCAGCTTGGAATTTGGCAAGGATAAGAACAACAATTACAGTACCCACTTTACCTCTCGGTGCTCGGCACCTCTGTCTTGAGGATAATGCCTTCTACAGGTGTGCTGTGAGGCTGCCTACATACAGAAATGTAGGGCAAGTTTTTAGCACAGTACCTGGCTCATAGTAAATTCCAGATAACGACTGGCGGGCTCCTATGATGGTTTCTATGGCCCCTTATTGAATGCCTGTGCCAGGCACTATAAATACATTTTATTGCATCATGATCATGAGCACAGACTATTATTCCCCACAGAGATAATGAGCAGAGTGGTGCAGTCACCCCGCAGCACTGCAGAGTTGGTGGGTGGTTGGGAGCTGAGATGCCAGCCTAGCCGGGTCTTCCTGACCAGCAATGAAGCAAGTTCTCTTTCTCCCTCCCTCCGTTTCTTTTCCTCCTTCCCTTCCTCCTTTCCTCCTACCCACTCCCCTTCTCTAGCCCCTACACCAGCCTTCTCTTAACTCTCAATTCTACTCTCTTGGCATAAATAACACTGTTCTTGGATAAGATCACCAGTGTCTGGGGAAGCCACTCACATTTCTCTGGAGTCAGTTGACTCTGTCCTACGGGTTAATTTATTTTTGATGCTGGGAATAAAACCTTTCCCAGGACTCTGGTGGGTGGTTATTACCTTAGAAAACCCCAGAAGTATACTGGGAATGCCAAGAGCCCTGGATTTAGATCCCACCCATCAGCTGCAAGAGCTCAAGGGTCCCTTTACCTACCTGAGCATCCGGGTGCTCCCTGTGAGATGTGACCACACGACTCGCAGCTGGGGCCGGCTTAGAACTTAGGTGAGCAAGGCCTGGCACAGCCTGACTCGGGGCAGGTGCCTGTGTTAGTGGCAGGGAGAGGCGATTCCAGCGAGGACTGGCGTCTGTCTGCTGCCTTAGCTGTCTTCCACCCTGGTCGGCCCTGCCCTTTGGATGGTACCCAAGGGCATCTTGATGTTGTTTACCCAGGACAGCCATGCCAAGCCATGGGAGCTGTCACACTGTGGCTCAACATGTAATTCTGACATGCAGGAGACTGTTGCCCTGATTCTCCACAAGTGGCCCCGTGAAGCCGGGAACCTATCGAGCTTGAAATCCTTTCTCACTCAACCCTGGAAACTGTCTTGGAGGTTGTTTTCGGTTCTGATTTCCTTCCTCCACACAGCATCTCCCCTGAGCTGCCCTGCCCTACCTAAGTGTATCTGAAGTCTTTGTCAAGGCCGCCTCACCCTTCCTATTACCACAAGATATCCTCCAAACAGAGGCCTCTCCGAGCACCGGCAGAGTCACTTAACAGGCAGTAACAGTGAACTCTGAATGCCGGGCATTCGAAATACTGTCGTTTCCATGGTCATTGACTGAGTACCAGCTAGATGCTCAGGCCACGACGCTTACATTCTTATTTAATGTTGTGATAAATGTGGAATTTCCCCTATTTTATAACTGAGAAACTGAGGCTCAGAGGGCATAGTGACTTCTCCAGGTCTCCATAGCTGGTAAGAGAAGGAGCCGGGATCAAACCCAGCCCATGTAAGCGGACATGCCTCTTCCACTCTTCCAGATTGGATTGATCGCTTTGAGATCAGCTCAGTGCATCACGTTATGGTCATTCCAACCTTCATGGGCAGGCTGGAGAGAGAGGGAGGCCGCCTTCTCCATCTGGGTTTGCCCTCCCCTGCCGTAGGCAGCGGTCCAGATGCCCAGTCCTACTGGGCAAGTCCCGTTCTGTCCGTGTCTTTCAGTTTGTGTCCTTACGAGCAGAGCGTATTCCCCCTCAGCTGCTCGCTGAAGGGAGGCCGTGTGCCAGGCACCCAAGGAACAGGGAGGTGATGGTGGATGTGGAAGACAGCGTCTCCCTCTTCCCAGAGCAGACAGCACAGCATTTACTCCGGACCAGGCCTTCGGTAGAGTTCAGCCTCATGACCACTCTTACGATGAGGCAGCGGGAGCCCGGAGAGGTGACGTAAGTCCCCCAAGGTTGTGAAGTTCAGCGTCTTCCCTACCACGCGATGCTGCTCTAATGGAGGCGTGGGATAGGGTTTCGCTCACTGCCCAGGATATTCCTAGGCCCTTCCAGAATGTCCTTTTCCCTCCCCCCAGCCCAACTCATGTCACCTGTGGCAGGAGGCCATTTCCGCTAACCGCGCACAGTGCTTCAGACCCTCCCGTCTCCCTGCGAACAGTCAGAAATTCGGCTGTCACCACAGCAATCTGCGTTTCCGGGCTGGGCTCTGGGAGGGCCGTTCAGGAGCCTCCTCCTCTGAGTTTTCTCCTGAGGAGACTGAGCCAGGAGAAACATGTTTTTCCCTAGTCCTCTGGGCTGAAGTTAGAGCAAGGAACATGTGAAGCTTCAATTGGAAAAGTGAATGCTCAGTGACAGTGAGAGACACATACAACATAATGTTAGGCAAGACTTAAACCATGCAGTAAGTGTCGCCACTGTTTACCGAGCGCCTGTTCTGTGCAGTGGACTAGTCTGAGCATTTTATACCCACCATGTCTTTTAATTCCTGTTATGACTCCACAGAGGTCACAAAATTACTCTTATTTTCTTAGGTCATAGATAAGGAATTTAGGTGCTTCTTATGTGACCTTGAGGCGGTCACCCAGGTGGTCACACAGGGTCAGGATATGAACCCCAAGACTGTCTGTCTCAAAGTCCATAGTGGGAACCAAAGGGCTAATCATTGTGATGCCAGTTTTGTACATAAGTATAGAAATCATAAAAAAAAATTAAAATTAAAAAACTAGGCTGGGTGTGGTGGTGCATGCCTGTAATCCCTGTGCTCAGGAGGCTGAAGCAGGAGGATCATTGTGAGTTTGAGGCCAGCCTGGGCTACAAAGTGAGCTCAAGGCCAGCCTGAACTTCATACTGAGACCCTGTCTCAAAAAAAAAGAAATCATATGGGAAAAGGTCTGAATGACGGGGTTATAGGTCATGTGATACTTTTATAGTCTTTTCTGAATTTTCCAGATTCTCTACAAAAGCAATGCTATTTTTATAGCTAGAAAATTATAACAAAAACATTTGAATAGGAAAAGTATTTCCCCTCCCTTTTTTTAACAGTGCCATGGGAATAAAAAAAGCAAGATGTTTGTGCTGTATGAATTTTGCCTCAGCTGGCTCCAGAATGGTCTTCTTTCACTCATCCCAGGTGCTCCTGCAGAAGCTGGGGTTGATGTTGTGCATAAAGCCAAGCCTCGCATGTGATCTGGCACACAGCAGGCCCATGACAAAATGTTGTAGGATGAATGAGCCAGCGGATGGACAGATGGATGGAAGGATGGTTCGGTGGGCAGTGGAGACCAGCTGGCCAAATTTACAGGTCCCTCCCCAGGAGAACTCCGACAGTGAGATCTTGGGCTGCCACTCGCTCACTGTAGGTTAGACTCTTGTCTACGGGAAATATTCCCCAAAATATCAAGGAAGTGAAAATCAGTAACAGCTGGAGACAGGGGTTCAGAAGTGCTTGCTAAGTGAGGAACAGGCTTGTAAACAGGAAATCTGAAGCCTGAACCTTCTACTCAGGAAGGCAGTCTGAACCCATGCTCCACAATTGCTCTGTACCCGTGAGTCACATACAAAAAGGGACCTTGGCCTTTGAGAAGGAGCCGTCACAAGGACGTGCTGACCTCCCTGGCTGTTGAGTGCACCGGCGCAGAGGGGTTATAGGATGGATGCCTATTATCCTATCTCCCCTTGGGGTTCAGACTGTTAAGGCTGTGAGACTCAGAATAATCAGGGGATGCAGTGAGGCTATTAAGAGGACCACATCTGAGGCTATGATGAAAATCAGAGTCAGCATAAGAGCTGGCCTTCCTGAAGTCCTCTCTGTGCTCGGCACTGTAGTAGGCGCCTTACTTAGGACAACTCGTTAAACTTATGCTAAGCAAGTTAGAAACGTGCCTGTCACTTCCTAACAAATTCTGGCATCATCTCCCACTCCATACTTCCTTTCTTGAAGGCAGTTTCTTCTTTAAAATTATACTTCAAAAAAATTATACTTCAATTTTTTTAAGTAGAAAGATACAAATTTAAAGTATAAATTTCTTTATAATTATAAAATACTTCTATGAGATTAAAAATCACTATGGACTGTTTTGAAACTATGAAAACATAAGGAAGGAGAAAAAATACTATCTCCGTGCTTGAAGATAACAGCTGTGGGAAGTGGGTAATGTTCTGAGGGAAACTTTTCTATGCCAAAATAAATATGTAAGTCTTATCTAGTTTTATAGCATGGCTACCACCCTACCCATCAGTTTTGTATTATGCGTTTACACTAGAAATATTTCCGGTGGTGGTACTATTCCCCTAAAACGTGATTTTAATGCTGCCTAGTGCCTTGTCGTTGGTTTGTAGCACACAGAACTGAGTGCTTTCCCCTTCGGGGATACCCACATTGTTTCTAGTATTTTCGCTGCTATGCCTTTTGACCCGCACAAGTAATAACCATAGTCTGCTCCGTGCCTCCTGCGCAGCCGGCGCTGTGCCCTGAGCCCACTTCATCTCCCGGCAACCCTGTGACAGGTGGGTGGTTACCACCCTGATTTAAAGATGAGGCTATTGAGGTGCAGAGCAGTCGTGGATATTTCCTTAAATGGAAGGCATTCTTCAAGGTGGGAATACTGAAGAAGAGTACATACATTTTAAATCCATTCCACAAAGGCCTGTCCATCAACAGCGACTGCGCCAGCAGCCTGGCTTGACAGGCGGCTCCTCGGTGAGCCCTGCGTGGCTGAGGCTGTGGGTTTCAAGCCTGCCAATGGGAGGCTGCAGGCCTGATGCACCATCTGCCTCCTCAGTCTGCCCATGGGCGGAGCTCCAGCTGGGCCAATCGCTTACAGTTGAGCCTCTGGGACAGGACACCTGAACAGGTGGGTGCTGGCATCTCTCCCCAGGCCACCCTGCTGGAGGTGGAACTGGAACATATGCTCTGGAAATAGAGGGCAGTGCCATAATCCTCCTGCTCCGTGTCCTTGGGAGCCATGTAAGAGGACAAAATTAACCTAGGGGGTGCTTTCTCCTTGACCAATAAATCCTATGGCACTGAGTGACCAGGACCCCACCCAGAAAGGCCTGAGTGGTCACCAAGGTACATGAACTTGGGCGCACTTGGAGTCTCTCTTGTGTTCCTGTCTCACTGAGTGTCTAATCCTTCAGAGACTGCACAAATGTATCCTCGTCTTGGGAGCCTTCCCTGATCCTCTGGGCAGAAGCAATTATTTCCCAACTCTTCCATGGCTCATGACTTTTATTTAGCATGAATTTCATTTGCCTCACACGGTAGCTGGTGGTTTTTATTTGCCTGGCTCACTGGACTACGTGTTTCTGAGAGCAGGGACTGTAGTTTAACAGTTTATCACAGTGGCCTTTGTAGTCCCAGGTCTGAGTTCAAACCCTGGCTGTCTGATTTGTCTTTGCGGTGTGACTTTAAGGCAGTCACTCAACCACTCTGAGCTTGGGTTCCACCTAGGTTTAAGAGGCTAATAATTAAAGTCATGCAGTAGGGTTGCTGTGAAGCTCAGATTAGATTGATAATAAATGTCAGCTCTTATTATATACAAGTATTATTATCATTATACTTATACCTTTCCATTTCTGCAGTATCCAGCTTGGGACTTTTAGTTACTAATGACTTAATAAATATTTATGACCATGATTGTAATTACTCAAGCAAAGCCAGGGCACAGGGTGTGCAGGGCATTGTGATCGAGGGCTCTGGACTGCGACTGCTTAGGTTCAAAATCTGCCTCGGGCATTTGCTAGCTGGCTGATAGTGTAATCTTCTTAACTCTCCCTGAGCCTTGGTCTCCTCATCTTTAAAATGGAAATAAAAAATTAATTAATTAATTAATCAATTGCTGGGCGTGGTGGAACCTGCCTGTAGTCCAAGCTACTCCGGGGGCTGAGGCAGGAGAATTGCTTGAACTCAGGAGTTCAACAGCAGCCTGGGCAACATAGGGAGACCCCCATCTCAAACACAACAATAAAATGAAAGTAATAAAAGCGGCTACCTTCGGGAGGCCTTCATTTCGTTGAAGAAACGAAATGAAGCACCCATGCAATCCTCAGAACACAGTAAGGACCAACTGAATGTTGTACGATTTCTAGTAAATGGCCTCAAAACCCTGGGGATTCTCTCTGCAGATCATCAGACGCTGCGACCTCATACTGCTGATGGAAATCAAGGACAGTCACAACAGGATCTGCCCCATGCTGATGGAGAAGCTGAACGGGTAAGGTGGGGAGGCCTGGACCCTCTGGAAGCTCAAAGGGCAAGTGCAAGGGAATCGCAACCAGCAGGGCAGCCAGCAGAGCACGCTGCGCACCAGGTCACATGGCCAGTGCCGGCCAGGCTCCGCCCTCGCTCAGCCGGGGTCCTGGGAACTCTGAGCTGGCTGGTTTTCATATGGTAAAGTAAAGTAGGGGAAACAAATGCGGAGAACTGAGAGAGGAAGGAAAGCGGCAGACAAGCGGCTGAGCTGAGAAGTCTGTTACAAAAAAAAGAATGGATGTCAACAATAGAAGAGTCAGTAAAATCCTGACCTGTTCACAAGCTGGAATATGATTCAGCTGTCAAAAATCATATCTGATACAGAATAAGTTATAGTTCTGAACTTGCTATTTTCATCATATTGTAGCCATCTTTCCATGCTAGAATATGTAAATAGAGCAGCTCGTTGTGTTACCTTTTACACGAATTTGGGCGTATTTGTGTTTGGGTGAGCACAGAAGAAGGGCTCACAAGATAGGCCCAGCCTGGTAATAGTGGTTATTTCTGGGGTGTGGAGGAAGAGTCAATGGGGATCAAGTCAGTGAAGGAATGGGGGACATTTGCTTTTCATTTTAATAGTTCTGTATGATTTGAATATTTTACAGTCAACCTATGTTGATTTTATGATTTAAAAATCAATAAAAACCAAAACATAATGTCCCTGAATTGTTTTAGATGACACTGGATGATATCTGTGACTTTATTCCCTCTGAATAATCAGTGGATCCCCTGTGTTAATCACTATGACAAAAGACCCGAACTCAACAGATCAATATCTTATGGAGAGGAAAGGTTTACTCAGCTTATAGCTTTGGAGGCTCCAGCCTGTGGTTAGCAGGCCATGTTGCTTTGGGACCTGTGCTGAGGCAGAACATTACAGTGGCAGCATCACAGGGCCACGTGGTGGCTGAGAAAGAGAAAGAGAGGAGAGGGGAGCAGGTGCCAATACCGCCATCAACGCCAGTCCCTGACCTGACTTCCTCCCAGGAGGCCCCTTCTCCAGTGGTGCCACAACCACTCACCAACCCTTTAACACTGGCCCTTGGGGGATGCTTCTCAGCACCCCCAATGCAGATCACCCTAGTGTGAGCTAAAACCACATGCGGATGCTCCCTTCCCCACTGAATGAGAATGCCTGTGAAAACCCAGAGTTTTGTTTGTTTCACTTCTGTGGTACTAGGTATTGACCCCAAACCCTCTTCCTGAGCTACATGCCCAGCTCTTTTTTATTTTGAGACAAGGTCTTGCTAAACTGCCCAAGCAGGTGTAGAACTTGCAGTCTTCCTGCCTCAGTCTCCAAGAGTGCTGGGATTAAAGACATGTGCCATCAGACTGCATGAGATTTAGAATTTTATTTTTTTATATTTATTTATTTATTTTGTCTTTTTGAGACAAGGTCTCACTATACAGTTTAGGCTGACGTTGAGCTCCCTTTGTAGCCTAGGCTGGCCTCGAACTCACAACAGTCCTCTTGCCTCAGCCTCCTGAGTGCTGGGATTGAGAATTAGAATTTTAGGCCGAGTGTGGTGGCGTACTCCTGTAATCTCAGCACTCTGGAGGCTGAGGCAGGAGGATCATTGCAAGTTAGAGACAAGCCTGGGCTACAAAGTGAGCTCAAGGCCAGCCTGAACTGCATAGCGAGACCCTCTCTCAAAATGAGACCAAAAAAAAAGAGAGAATTAGAATTTTAAACAAGCTTCTGTGGTGATTCTGATGTGCATTTATTTATTTATTTATATTTTTTGTGGTGTCGGGCATCAAACCCAGAGCACGCTAAGCACGTGCTCTACCACTAAGCTACACTCCCAGCCTGACATGTCTTACATTTTTAAAACCCTCAAGATAAGTACTTTTTGTAGATAATTATAAGCTTAAGCAACAACCAGAGTACACAATATGTACCATGTTCACTTAATTATGTTTTTTAAAAATGTAAGAGTCAAGGAAAATAATGCACTCATGCTGTCAGTGACTATGTTAATGTACAAATTTACTAAGAGTTTAAGAGTAATTTCCCTATTTTTTCTGTACTTTCCAATGAGAATGTTACATCCCCCATTTTTCTTATGAAATATCTCAAACATACTTAAAGGCGCAGAGATCTTCTAACCAACAGCGGTGTATCCACCACTCGGATTTAACAAATAGTAACATCCGACTGGCTTTGGCAGTCAGGACAGCTCTTGTTGCTTCCTAGCAGTGAAAGGTCAATTTGGACTCCTGAGGCTGGGGAGGGGCAGCCGGGCGGTGCCTCCTGCACAGAGGGCCTCTTGGGCTTGATCCACCTTCCCCTGGGCTCGGCTGAGCTAGTGACTCTTAGCCTCAGCCAGTCTAGCTCCTAGATCTGCTCTTTGAACGATGGATCTGCCACTTGGTGCTCCGTTCTCCCTGTGTGCACCATGCAGCTGATGTGGAAGCCCCTTCCTGGGGTGCGTGATAGCTAGATTAACTCGTGCCTGCTGCGCAGCCATGACCAGTGAGTGCTGCCGGTGTCTATGACTACTACAAGGAAAGAAGTACAACAGCAGGTGATGGCCCAGGGGCCACGGGGAACAGCTGCCAATGACACCGGCATCCCTGGCCAGGCATCCTGCTGGTCAGGTTCTATGGGCGGTGTCCTTACTCCCCACAAAGCCTGGAGGGGTGGGTACTGTCCTCTTCCCTTACAGCCAAGGCAGGTTAGATGCAGAAAAGTCCAGCTTCTTGCAGTAAAAGCTCCAGACACTCTTATTGGCCTCTCCTGGGCTCCCCAGGGCTGGGTTTGGCTTAAAGCATGTATTTGAAGTCCCAAGGATTTCTGTAATCTAAGTTGCCCCCCAGGTACCCCCTGTGCTCTATTCTAATAACCCCAAAACTCTGCCACGGCTTTAGCCACGCCCTAGATCTTTTTGTGGGCAGGTGGGGTGAAACTGTGTCAGGCTGTGCCTGGAGTGGGGGTGGAGTTATCAGCAGACTCGATAAACGCAGAGTCAAGATAGCCTTGGGCAGGTGAGGGGTCAGGTAAGTATTTGCAATCACAGTCCCAGGACTTGGGAGAAAGCACCTGGGCGTTTCAGAGGCAAGAACGTTCCTGCCTTTGCTGAATGCTTAAGAATGACACATGGACAGGGGGCCTGATGAGGTCAGCTTCACAAGAAAGGGTGAGCCACAACTCAGCAGGGACCAAAGCAAAATTTCCGAGTCTGCCTAAATAATCTATGGGCTGAGTGGCTCCCGTAGGTGCAGGCCAAAGCTTGTGGGTTTGGGAATGATCCAGGTGTGGGTTCAATCCCAGCTTTGTCCCCTTAAACTATAAAAAGAGGTACCAATACTATCTTCCTTTGTAGGACAAGAAATAAGGGATAGGGATGTAGCTTAGCGGTAGAATGCTTGCCTAGCAAATTTGAGGCCCTGGGTTCAACTCCAACAAAAAAAAAAAAAAAAAAAAAAAAAAAAGAAAGCCAAGTATGCTGGTACACATCTGTAATCCCAGCATTCTGAGAGCCTGAGGCAGGACCATCACAAATTCATGCCTACCCTAAGCAATTTAGTGACTTCCTGTCTCAAAAAAAAAAGATTAGGGGTATAGCTCAGTGTGAAGGCCTAAATTCAATACTCAGAACTGAGAGGGGGAGAGGAAGAAGAAGGAAAAGGAGAAGGAGAAGGGAGAGAGGGAGGGAAGGAGTTAGGCTGTAAGGATCTGGCAAATGTTTCTTATCAAACTCAAAAATTGTGTGGTAGCTCATTCTCGTAATCTCAGAACTTGGAAGCCTGAGGCAGGAAGATCACTGTGATTTGGACTACATAATGAGATTCTGCCTCAAAAAAAAAGTTAAGAATAGTAACCTTTCCACATGATGCCCTTGGTAATATGAAGACAGATTAGAAAGTGGAGATATAGCCAGGCATGGTGGTGCATGCCTGTAATCCCAGCACTCGGGAGGCTGAGGCAGGAGGATTGTTGTGAGTTCAAGGCCAGCCTGGGCTACAAAGTGAGTTCAAGACCAGCCTGAACTCCAGAGTAAAACCCTGTCTCAAAAAGATTTAAAAAAAAAAGAAATAGAAAGAGGGAATATATGCAACAGGGATGTATTCATTCTTTAAGGTACAGTATGAAATCTTCATGTTTTCTAGAAATTCAAGGAGAGGAACAACATACAACTACGTGATTAGCTCTCGGCTTGGAAGAAACACATATAAAGAACAGTATGCCTTTCTCTACAAGTAAGTATAATCTATGCTCTTTGAAACAGGAAGGTCCACTTAAAGACATGACCATGAATTGAATCAAAATATATATGCACTTCAAAACCAGATTTTGCTCTCTAACCAGTTCTCAGTGTTGATCAAAATAATTGCTGTCCAAACTAGAGTTGGTGCAAAGTATTCAATCTTTCTGAGACAGGGTCTCACTGTGCAGTTCAGGCTGGCCTTGAGCTCACTTTGTAGCCCAGGCTGGTCTTGAACTTGCTTCAATCCTCCTGTCTCAGCCTCCCAAATTCTGGGATTACAGGCATGTGCCACCAGGCCTGGCTCAAAGTATTAAATCTTGAGAATCAAAAATATAAAGAGTTTCCTAACACCTGGCTGGTTGGTGAAGTGGGGGGGTGCCAAGGTCAGGGGTTCTTTACTCTTCGTGGTCAAACCCTGGCCCTGAGTTGCCTTGCACAGCTGACTCCTGAACTCCGTAATCTCACTGCTTCCTCCTAGTGACTTACAAGCGAGGCTTCAGTCACTGGTGGGTGCCCTAAATGAGGAGCCCCGCTGAGATCCTCAGGTCCCAGAGAACTGACTCAGTCTTGGTCTTTCCTCTTTCTGTGGAAGCTAGCAAAGCCGTGGGAACCTACTCCCTATTTCTTCAAAGACATAAGAAGGACTTCCTTTTTTCTCTGTTAGGGAAAAGCTCGTGACGGTGAAGAAAAACTACCTCTACCACGACTTCCAGGATGGAGACGCAGACGTGTTTTCCAGGGAGCCCTATGTGGTCTGGTTCCAGTCACCCCACACTGGTGAGACCCACCAGCCCCTCTTGTCCGTGACCCCCGCCCCCCAGAGGCCCATGAATAGGCAGCATGAGCACTCTCGAGCAGTGTCCCAGGGCTCAGGCAGCGTCTTCGAGGAGGCACTGGGCTCCAAGGACCATGCGCTGCTCCTAACCCGTGAAAGGGGGCAGGGCGGTGTACATGGAGGGCGTCAGGCCTACTTTTCAGAGTACCCAGACATGCAGCAGCCCAACCTGCTCCACCCTCTTGGGTCAGGGATAACTCTATTCTCTTCGGACTATTTAGCTCATGAAAATGATTTACTGCAAGTTCTTGGTCCCTGCCCAGTTCCTTAATATTTTAAAAGATTATAGTGATGGCCAGCAAGGGTCCCGCTCTCCCTGCAGTAGACACCAGCAGCCTCCTCCACAGACCGAGGGAGGAAACCCAAGCCAGCTGCACTCTGAGCTCCAGTGCCACAGTAACCCTTCATCAAGCGCTGACACCTTGTAATCCTGGCAACAGACAGCAAGGCAGGGACCAGGATTATCCTCTCTTTATATCTGAGGAAACTGACGTTCAAAGAGATATGGTCACTCGTCCAAGTCACCCAGCTAACAAAGTGGACGAGCCAGGATTGTAACCCAAGGTGGCATCTCAGCCACCACACCTCACACCAGGCAAAGCCATGAAGTAAAGGTGGTTTGCAGATTGCAGCCACCTAGAATCAAAGCCTATTTTTCTCAGTGCCTACTATGTGCCAGGCTCTGTTGAGGGCACCAGAGAAGACAGATGAAGTTCCTACCCTCATCTGAAGTTACACTGGAGTAGCGGAGACAGATAACAGCCAAATAAATACCTGCTGGGCTGGGGGTGGAGCTCGGCGGGAGAGCACATACCTAACGTGCACAAGGGCCTAGGTTCCATCCGCAGTACCAAAAAACAAAGTAATATATGCAAGGTCGTAAGCATGTACATCTGTATCTATACTATTCAGTGGTACCTGGGTTCATGAACTTGATTCTTTCCATGATTCTGGTCACAAACTGCATTGGATGAGAATTGAATCAAATTCAATGATTAATTTTTTTTTTTTTTTTTTTTTTTGGTTTTTCTCCGGTACCAGGAACCGAACTCACGACCTTGCGCTTGCCAGGCAGGTGCTTTGCCGCTGAGCTAAATCCCCAGCCCCTAAATTCAATGATTAGAGCCAGGGATACAGCTCAGCAGCACAGCACTCGCCTGACAAGCACAAGGTCCTGAGTTCAATTCCTGGTACAAAAAAAAAAAAAAGAAAGAAAGAAAGAAAAAGAAAAAACTTCAAAGATTAGGTTCAATGTCGACCTTATGGGGACATTTGACTTGGTGCTCGTCCAGCTCAGTTTTCAACCAGAACTGTAGAAAGAATTAAATTCGTGAGTTGAGGTACCACTGCGCCAGCATAAACTTCCTGAATAATAAGTTTCTGCCCACGGTTAATTAGCTCAAGGGGAGGACACTGCAGGAGAAGTTGGAGGAGGGAGCCACTGAGGGCCAGAAAAGCCGGTCAGAGGACATGAGCAGTGACCCTCCTTGCACACACTCGCTTCACGTCATTCTGGCCAGGAAGAGTGCTCCCACCCCCAGAAAGTCCCGAGCCTCTGTGAATTTCTAAATAAATCTGATTATCCTGAGCTGCTACACTTCCCTTCACTACCCCCCTCTTCCCTGGGACGGCACTGCCTGTTTGGAGCTTTCCCTCCTGTGCCAGGAAACCTCCTACGTCCCCTTGACCTGAGATTAAGTTAGCTATTTTATTTATCCACTTATGTGTTCAGTCAACAAACCCTTTTGAGCACCTGCAATGTGCACTGACCCAGGTGCTGTCTTTCATTAAAAGATACTAATAAGGAAGTGAAAAGGCAAGTGGGAAAAGATACATGCAATTTAGACTAACAAAGGGTTCATGTCAAGAATATATAAAGAATCCCAGCACTCTGGGAGGCTGAGACAGGAGGAGCGCAACTTCAAGCCCTGTGCAATGTGCCATGCTAGGTTGTGGAGCCAGGAGGGTGAGGGGTCCCTGAGCTCAGGATCCAACAGACCACATGCAGAAGTGAAGGAAGTGACTTTGGCGCACACAGAAAATACCCCAGCATGCACTGAACAGAAGGTCCAGGAGTTCACCTTGGGTGATGTGACCAAGGACGGCCCCTTGAAGGAGGAATGGGGCTGGGACCTAAGGAAGCTGCCATACAGAGGGCTGGGGAGCGGGCAGAGGGGAAGAGCATGAAAATTTAGGGAGCGAGAGGGAGTGGAGCATGTGCAGGGAGACTGGGCAGAGCTGCAGAATGAGGCTGAGGCAGGAGGAGGTGAGCTGGAGAGCATCTAAGGTAGAACCTGAGCCCTGGACACAAGCAATTACGGAGACAGATAATGGCCAAATAAATACCTGCTAGGATGGGGGTGGAGCTGTGTGACTCGAGCAGGGTCCACCTCACAACCCCTGCCACAAGGCCGAGTGGGCCCCAGGCAGAGGATGAGGCGCTGCCTCAGAAAAAACAGGCGCTGTTCTCAGAGGGTTCTCAGCCGGGGGGTCCGTGTGACTGGCAGGCGGCCCCCACAGCCACACTCCGGCCAAGACCCCCAAGGGAAGGTGTTCACACTACCCACAAAAGTCATTGTATTTCTTAAATGCCTTTCGGGGGCTTTTTCTTTGATTACAAGAGGAGTATAAACTGGCAAGCCTCAAACCACCCCTGCCCCGCCCATACTGAGAATTGAACCCAGATCCTTTGCACTGAGCTAGCTCCTTTTTTGTTTTGTTTTTGAGACAGGGTAGCACTAAGTCACTAAGTTGCCCATACTTGGCTTGAATTTGCAGTCCTCTTGCCTCAGCCTCCTGAGGGCTGAGATTATAGGCCAGTGCCACCATGCCTGTCTCCAGCATTTTTTTTAATTAGAAAAAAATTGTTTTCTATTA